AGTGAATCTTCATACTTATTGTCTATCTATGGACATTGATGCCGCATTTATTTTCACCTCAGTTTTTGAAGGAATTTTTTGACACAAATTTATGCAATAAATTGGTAATTATTTTTTTCCTTGGAAATGAAGCAAATTATCAAAATAATTCAAGAGGTCGAAATGTTGTATTTTTAGTTTGTCAATAGGTTATGGAGATACAGAATTCAAAAAAATCAGTGGCGCACATTTTATTGACAATAATATTCGGTAGGGTGCGCCTCGGGATGGTTATATCAGCCCCTCATGACAAAGAATATCATTGCCAACTTCCAAGAAAATTGGTAGAAGGACATTTGAGATATTCATAAAAAACCGATCTTGTTTAAAAGTTATAACACACTGTATGTTGAAAACTATGCATTTCCGGACCCAAGTACATAAAAAAAATTTCTTATACCATCATATAGAATCACCCCATTGATTTTTTGCGCATAATTTTCGGACTCCCTGTATATTGAAAACCCTGAGAATCCCTGATTTTGTTTGTTTGGTTAATATTTGTGAAATCAATTTGAAATTTTGCGTAAACATTCAATTAATCATGACAAACAAGTTGGGCATTTCAGAAATATTCCATTTCTTCATTATTTCCGAAGAATTTTTTCATGCAACTTTGTTTTTTTTTTATGAGCGTCATATTTGTTTTTTGTACCATTGAACATGGCTAGGAATTCCCTTCACAGCCATGTATAACATATTGACAGTAATAGTATATTATGTAACAAGTATTATAAACGTCATTTTAATAACGAATATTTTAAGCACGAGCGCAGAGCGGAGCTAGTGTTTGATGAACGAGTGTCTGGAAGATATAAACTATACTATACTTTTTCTACGAACTCATTTTTGTTTGTTCCTGGTTCATATTTAGTTGTGAGTTCAATACATTTCAGATGTCAGAACACTGTCTCTATGGTACTTATTTGTGATAAATTTTCATCATATCTCTTCCTTTTCCACTCGTGAAAGCAATTTCCGCCAAAAATAAAGTAACATACAAAATAACCAAATGTCATTGAATGTGACAGATTGGAAATGAAACATCAAACTAAACTCAGTTTTTTTTACTATCTCCGATTTTTTCAAAAAGAATGGCAACTTGTGATACACCATTGAAAAAAAGAATGGCAACTTGTGATACACCATTGAAAAGAGAATAACAAGTTCTATTCAGAACAGAAACAATCCAATATGGTGCCCATTGGAAAATATAAAGTTGATGATGCTGGTCGGAAGACGAAACGTCAGTTAGCAAATCTGAAAGCACCGTCATATAGTAGGTATATATTAGAGAGAAAAATTTGTATTCATGGTTCTTCAGTGCCTTCTTCTCCTTTTTTGCATAATAATGTAGCATGGAATACACACGGCTATGAAGAATTATTAATACTGTAGTCATGACGATTGATATCTTGTTTTGTTATTATTTATTATCATGGCCTACCACATTTGAAGACGTCGGGCAATTCAATTCTAAGCAGTTATTACTAGCAAAAAATAGTTTTCACTGTTTATTGGCGCTCTGAAGGGAATTTCCAGACCTTGAGATTGAAATTTGTATAAAAAACTTTTGGAATTGGGAATACACGAGTCTGGATTTCTCCGGCAATAAATTAATAGAAGTCTTGTCTAAATTTTTTTATATTCTTGATTGACTCGTATTCATTTCCTACTTTCCTACTTCATATCAATGATCTGTTGGGAGTAACAACTTGCCCCATCCACAGCTTTGCAGATGATAGTACCCTCCATACTGCGTTCTCTTCCAGAATTCCCATTTCTTCCCAGGAAACTAAGAATTCACGGCGCAGGCAGGTCAATGCAGTCAATGAAGATCTTGCTGAAATCACAGCCTGGGGAACGAACAACCTAGTTGAATTCAACGCCACCAAAACTCAAGCCTGCATTTTCTCTAGAAAGGCGGAACTCAGTATGCCCGATATTGTAATGTCTGGCTCCACCATCCCCACCAAGCCCACCATATCTATGCTCGGTATTTCCATCAGCAACACTCTTTCATGGGATAATCATGTCAGATCCATCGCAAAAGCTGCTTCACAAAAACTCGGATTCTTGTTCCGTGCGAAAAGCTACTTTACACCTCAACAGCTTCTCATGATCTACAAAGCGCAGATACGGCCTGTTCTAGAATACTGTTCCCACATATGGGGTTCAGCACCAAAACATACGCTGATGCTCCTAGATTCCATCCAGAGAAGAGCCATTCGCCTGGTGGGTGACGCCACACTCACTCACTCTTTGACATCATTGGAACACCGTAGAAAGGTCGGCGACCTTTCACTTTTCTATCGATACTTCCACGGGAAATGTTATTCGGAAATCTCTGCAATCATCCCTTCACTAGCAATACCAATCAGACGAACTAGACAAGCCCAGTCAGCACATCCTTTCGTCGTCAACCTCGAAAGATGTCGAACAGCACTTTATCAAGACTCCTTCATCCATAGAACGGCTAGGCTCTGGAATTCATTGCCTGTGGAAGTATTCCCAACAACATATAATCTCCAAAAATTCAAAAAAAATTCCAATACCTACCTCCTGTCCCTATCCTCCCTAGGAACGCACGATGTTCTTTGAACATTATAGGGATTCCCTTTCGTGCGCTCCAATCGATAAAAAAAAAAAAATTTCCATTATTTCTATAAGAATGACTACACAAAGAAAGCAGCAATGACATTCACTGAATTAAATGATGACAGCAATATTCGACAAACGTCAAAATATCAACAAATACCATGACTACCATGAGAAGAAAAGTGGAATGAAAATACTAGGAGCACTGAACCGCTTTTTGAAATTGATTTTTCATTATAATAAGATAATTTTTTCGTGAAAATCATGTATGCACCCGGAGTGTAACACTCACCCAAGGGCCTTTACATAAATAGCTATTTTGTGCAATCCCAACTTCTTTATCATGATCAATTACATTCACGCAAAATTTCAAATTTGTTCCCCAATATCAATCAAGAAAATAACTTAAAACAAAATCAGTGAATTTTTTTCAGTTTGCAGAACGTTATATCACACAAATTGTGTCCACTTCGATCAACTTCCCATCTCTTACCGTTCGGGAAATAGCATTACTGTCCCTATGAAACCGGCAGCACCCTGTATACCGCGAAGCACAAAATCAAAAACAAGCACCAGCGCACAAGCCGACAAACCCAAAAACAAAAATCACTAACCACAAGGCTCCCGTGGACTCTCATCCTGGGAGGAGCCACTGGTCGAACTTCTGAAGTTCTTCGACAGGCAAAAAATCGATCGGTAGACGTATTCCCAACCTCGACCACTAAGTTTTATAGGTTCGCATCGACGTGCCTAGGTGGGGTGTCACGCCGATCACTTTCTCTCATACACCCTCGCTCGCAATCTTCGCGGCCGTTGCCCAAGACAAGGCCAAGGTGCAGGATCTGTAGTGCAAGGCTATGGTTGCGAGGTGTCGATGAGATCCGGAGACAGGGGCAGCGAAATGCGACGTTGCCAAGGAAAGATGCATTCTCAATAAGAAACATTGTCAGGACCTCGGTCAGGACACCTCAAACATTAGTTTTTCGTAATATCCTAAAAAATACTTCTTTAGGACTTCCATGAGACGTCCTGAATGGAACGTTCTAGAGACGCCCTAATTGAAATGTTCTTAGAGCATTGTCAGGACACCCCAAACAGTAGTTTTTCGTAATGTCCTGAAAAATACTTCTTTGGGACTTCCGTGAGACGTCCTGAATGGAACGTTGTCGAGACGTCTCGAATGGAACGTTCTCGAGACGTCCTGAATGGAACGTTCTCGAGACGTCCTGATTGAGATGTTTTTAGAACTTCTTGAATTCTGTTACGAGATAATGAGAAAAGTCTGAAGTGTAGAATCTTTAGTGCAAGAGCAGTTGAGAGACGTCGGGGAGATTCAAAACAGGCAACGAAATGCGACATTGCCAGGAGAGGATGCATTCTCGATAAGAAACATTGTCAGGACACATGAAATATTAGTTTTTCGTAATGTCCTAGAAAATACTTCTTTAGGACTTCCATGAGACGCCCTGAATGAAACGTTCTAGATATGTCCTAATTGAGATGTATTTAGAACTCTTAGAATTATGTAACGAGATAATGAGAAAGGTCTAAAATGTAGAATCTGTAGTGCAAGGAGCAGTTGAGAGACGTCGGGGAGATTCGAAAACAGGTTACGACATGCGGCATTGCCAAGAGAGGATGCATTCTCGATGAGAACATTGTCAGAACTCATGAAACATTAGTTTTTCGTGAGGTCCTAAAAAAAACTTCTATAGGACATCCATGAGACGTCCTGAATGGAAGGTTTTAGAGACGTCCTAATTGAGATGTTTTGAAAACTTTGTGAATTCTGTAACGATAATGAGAAAATTCTGAATTGTAGAATCTGCAGTACAAGTAGCAGTTGAGAGACGTCGGGAAGATTCGAAAACAGGCAACGAAATGCACTGCTAAGAGAGGATGCATTCTTCATAAGAAACATTGTCAGAAAACATAAAACATTAGTTTTTTGTAATGTCCTAAAAAATACTTTTTCAGGACTTTCAAGAGACGTCCTCTAATGGAACGTTCTCGAAATGTCCTAATTGAGATGTTTTTAGAACTTCGTGTAGTCTGTAAAGAAAAAATGGGAGAAGTCTGAAGTGTACAATCTGTAGTGCATGGAGCAGTTGAGAGACTCTGGGGAGATTCAAAAACGGGCAACGAAATGCGGCATTGCCAAGAGAGGATATATTTTCAATATGGAACATTATCAGAATACTTGAAACAGAAGTTTTCATATGATATCCTCAAATATACTTTTTTGGACTTCAATGAGATGTCCTCTTGTGAATTATGTAACGGAACAATGAAAAAAGTCTAAATTGTAGAATCTGTAGTACAAGGATGCATTTGAGAGACGTTGGGGAGATTCGAAAACATACAACGAAATGCGGCGTTGCCACGAGAAGATGCATTTTTAATGAGAAACATTGTCAGGATACTCAAAAGAGAAGTTTTCATATGATATCCTGAAAAATTCTTTTTGGACTTTTATGAAACGTCCTGAACAAAACGTTCCAGAGACGTCCTAAATGAGATGATTTAGGACTTCCTGAATTCTGTAACGAGATAATGAGAAAAGTCTGAAGTGTAGAATCTTAGTGCAAGGGCAGTTGAGAGACGTCGGTGAGATTCAAAACAGGCAAAGAAATGGGGCATTGCCAGGAGAGGATGCATTCTTGATAAGAAACATTGTCAGGACACATGAAGTATTATGTCCTAGAAAATACTTCTTTAGGACTTCCTTGAGATGCCCTCTGAATGGAACGTTCTAGAGATGTCCTAATTGGGATGTGTTTAGAAGGAGGCAAACGGCAAACTCTGAGGTGCAAGATCTGTCATACAAGGCTGTAAGAACGAGAATCTGGAGATAGGCAGCCAAATGCGGTGTTGCCAAGAGAGGAAGCATTCTCGATAAGAAACATCGTCAGAGAATTTGAAGCAGAAGTTCTTCATAATATCCTGAAACATACTTTTTCAGGACATGAGAGGTCCTGAATGGAACATTCAGACGTGGAGACCTACTAAATGAGATGTTTTAGGACTTAGTAAATTTTATAACGAGACTAGCAGAATAATCTAAGATGCAGAATCAGTAGGGCAAGGCTGTGGTTATGAGATGTCGAGGAAATACAGAGATAGTAGCGAAATGGTCCCTTGCCAATAGAAGATACATTCATGCATGCATTGTCAGGACACTCAATATTAAAGTTCTTCATGATATCCTGAAAAAGACTGTATTTCATAACGAAGCAAGCAGAAAAATATACGTACAGACTGAAACGTTCTTAAGACGCCCCAGAGGAGACGTTTTTAGGACTTCCTAAAAATCCAAACGTTCAGAACGGAAATGTTTTATGACGTCCCAACAAAAAGTTTCTTGGACGACCTGCACAAAATATTTTGAATAAAACACTTCGAGTCATCTGGTGACAAGTAATATCCATAATATGCTCAAGTTTACTTCACTTTTCGAGAAATTGATGCCCATCTTGTGAACTATTGCTATATTCATTTACAGACACTTTCGCGAACATGGTGATCGACTTTCACACCATAAGGAAGCGAGTTTTTTGTTTATCGCATCAAACAAGCGCTCTCGAAAGATTACATACAAGAACTACATGAAAATATATGGTATACAGGGTGTCCAATGACATAGAGTGTTATAGCACTCAATGGCAATTTATTTATTAATAGTTTTTGAAAAATCTCAGCACACTATCGGTGTCAATCAAATCAAAACTGTTCAAGAATTCACATCCAAAGAGTAATTAAGAATTTATAGTCTGACTCTGACTTGTTGTAAGTAACTCCAGGTCTACATTCATTTATTTTCTAGAAACACAATCCAAATATTCGAAATCATGACTTCGTCGTACTCTTGACAAGATACAACCGAAACAAAATATAATTTTTTTGCAACCGACACAAAATTTGTTCATTTTAATACCAAAATCATCTCTTGAATTGACGTTCCTATTACTGACACAAACATAGATATGTTGCTAGGCAACATTTCAAGAATGATGTACTAGGTTATCAAGAATAAACAACATTTGTTCCCGATTTCGGCAGATTTGACATTTCGTACCCATGCTGGAGGTATAAATACACCATATTATAGTTAAGTATTTTTGTTTTGATCGGGAAAGCCTTCAAGATTCACATACTTCCTTGATCTGTATTTCATTCATTCTCATCAGGATCTGATTGATTGGATAACTTGTTGTTGAATAATCACGGCCAGTAATACTTTTTTGTCTCACACGATATTGTTTATCTTCATTTGACTACCGAGCCAAACACAGTGGAATATGGAGAAAAATAAATAATCTCTATTATTATTGTTGATATGCTCACTAACCTTACATTTTCCACATAGTTTTCCTATACTGGCGCGGTATTAGGGCAGACACCTGGTCCAAATGAATTCATCGATTCAATAGAATACACAAATGGGTCACTCTTAGGTTGTATTTATATACAGTGTGTCCACCTTAAGGACTTACCACCCCTGTAAAATCGTTATTATCCGACCAATTTCAAAAAACCTTTTTTTGTTGGATAGGTATTTGAAATGCCCATCCAACGAGAGAGTGATCTAATTCTTGGACTGTTATCGTGGCCGACTGCGACAAATTTCAATGACCCATATTCCAGAAAGTACTTTTATTAGGGATTTTTTTACACGAAACTTGATGATGGATTCTGAATCAGTACCACTTGAAATATACCTACCTGTACCGATTTTCATCATCATAAAACACAGGGTGTCCGAAAAAACGAACCATCATTTTCTTCAAATAGGTGATCAGCAAATGTAGCTCTGTGGTTTTTCTAGAAAGAAATAATCACAAATTATCATTGAGGATTATTTCAAATATACCTATACCAATTTTCGTCATTTGAATATACAATGTGTCTGAGAAAAAAATTAAAAAGGGTAGGGGAGCAATATTTTTCATCCTGATAATTTTTCACTCAAAATAAAAAGATTAATCAGGATCACTTGAAACATACCTGTACCGATTTTCATCATCATTAAACACAGGGTGTTCGAAAAATCAAATTATTTTTTTTTTTAGTTGATGAAAAAATATTGCCTACTTCTTCTTCTAAATTGTTTTCTCATACACATCGTATTTTTGAACGATGAAAATCGGTACAGATATGTTCAAAGTGATCCTCAATAATAATGTGTCATCAATTCTTCTCAAAAATACCACAATATACTACATTTCCTGATCACCCATCAAAAAAGAAACATAATTAATTTTTTCGGACACCCTGTATTTTATGATGATAAGAATCAGTAAAGGTGTTTGTCAAGTGATCGTGATTCAGAATCCATCATTGTTTTTTGTGAAAAAAAATCCCTAATAGTACTTTCTCAAATATGGGTCAATAAAGTTGGTCGCAGTTGGCCACGATTACAGTTCATGAGTAAAATCACTCTCTTGTTGGATGGACATTTCGAATACCTATCCAACAAAAAAAAGTTTTTTGAAATCGGTCAGATAATAACAATTTCACAGGGGTGGTAAGTCCTTAAGGTGGACACACTGTAGATACTACAAATCGAAAATCCTTGAAAATTGGATAAACCTGATCTGTAAATGCAAGTAGAATAATATCATCACACGTATTATTTGTTGCATTGCATACATATGTCACGGCATCCACATTTCGGGTATAGTATTGAATTCGTGTCCGTAGTATCTGATGATGCATGTCAACACAAATTGTAAGAAAGTAAAGTCATCGTCCACCAATATTCTAATGTAAAGTAGTCTGAGGTCTTGCTTCTATCTACTTACCTATATTATTATAATAAAGGTATTGTAATAATCTGACAAGTAAGTCACATTGGTGGTTACTTCACATATTTATTTCAGTTAATTCTTTCGATTGCAGAAAAAATAGCATGTTTCATTCGGATCAAAAGTGACTTTGTTTGACAAGCGAATTTTGCATCTGCGAGGCGGAGTCACTTTTGATCATAAAAAAGCAATCTTTTATTCTTTTCAATAATCATAATTTCATAATCCAGATGTTTTAACACTTCTGGCATCAGGTTGAGAAACGCCCTATAAAGTGCATCCACGTTTCATTGAAATCGTGCAGGTATTTATGTATTCTATGATTGAATAATAATTTCTTCCAGTGTGATATGCAATTAAAATTAATTTAACCGGCAATTAGGTTCTAACGAACAATAAAAAGTGAATAAACAATACCTGCTTTTCACTAGTTGTTGATTCAGACAAGATTGTTCATCTTCCTCGATCATTACTCGATGTCAAATCCTTGAGTAAAACAAAAAGAAATTGCCTTAATTGATAAGTGATTCCCTATATACAGGGTGATCCACATTATGAACAGCCTATTAAAAACACATCAGAGAGAGAGCATCAAAAAATTTAATTCAGCACAAGTTTTTAAGGAAAATAGATCCTAATTATTCAATGATATTTGTTTCCGTAGACTTTGTATCAGTATTGTTTATTACCCCTATTAACCAGGGTCGGATTGTGGGCGAAAGGGCCTACCGGGAAATTTACCAATGGGGCCTCCTCCTCCTCCCAGTTAAGCTTTTAAACTAGGTGTTGTTCAATAACTTGTTGATCTGAAGAGTGACTCACAAAAATGCTTCAACTTTCGATTTTAATATAATAATATAATAACAAAAAACAAAACATCACATTAGTTACATAAAGTCTTTGATAGAAAAGAAATATTGAGCTAACGGAGAAACCAAATCTTTGGTAAAAAAAGGTACATTAATTCTATAGGAGTTGAAAAATAAAAGTTATGTATTGATGCAGTGAAAAATAAAAATGTCTATTCATACATAAGACATAACTACTAACCAAAGATCATACACACTACTAACCTAAAAACAATAACAATAAAAAACAGAACATGAAACGTCTTGATAGTTATATAAAATCTTTGGTAAAAAAACATCATTTATTCTGGAGAAGTTGAAAAATAAAAATGTATTGACATATAACTATCGAACGAAGCCCTGGAAGGGACACATAAAATAAAAGAATAAAACTCTTCTGAATTCTGAGTTATAACTGGGAATTTTCAAATTCCGACTTATATCTCGGAATTTCACATTCAAAATTCCGAGTTATAACTCAGAATTTCACATCCAATATTAGTTATAACTCAGAATTTCAAATTTCCAAGATATAAGTCGAAATTTGTATGTAAAATTCCGAGTTATAAGTCGGAATTTTACATCCAAAATTCCGACTTATATCTCGGAATTTTGAAATTTTGTGCAATAAGTCGGAATTTTAATGTGAAATTCCGAGTTATAACACGGAATTTTCAAATTCCGACTTATATCTCGGAATTTTACATTCAAAATTCCGAGATATAAGTTGGAATTTTGAAATTC